CCCCAAAACCCCAAAACCCCAAAACCCCAAAACCCCACGAGGGTTATAAATCACTTTAGAGAATTAATAAAATAGGATATTTGTGAGAAATTATATAATAATAAATATCCTATCTGCGTAAAGATTCGAATTCAAGTCAAACCCATAATATGAAGTCAAAGAAATTATTATTATTGACAACCCTCATGGCCCTTCTAGGTGCCAGTCAATAATCATTAATTGATAAGCTCTTCAACAAGCTGAGATCAATTGGTTAATCAAACTATAACAAACACGAAAACTTCTTCAATCTACACTCTGAACTTACAACATACAAGGCTTCCCCAGAAGCGCAAAAACTGTTCCAGAGACTTTAATCTAATTTCTAAAATCATGTAATCACTGGTAACACTGATGGAAGCTTCGAGAAAATCCATGATATCACTGGCAAGCATCCAATCGTCCAAGCCTTCGACTTTTAGAACTACTCTCCACACAATCCTTGGCATGATGACTGGTCAAGCTGGGATGATGGCTCAGTTCAACATGCCATTGATTATTATCACAAGACCAATGGTAATGGGATCGTTACTTTCCATTGGCACTGGTTTTCCCCAAAGGGAGGTAACCTAAAGAGCAGCACCTTCTACACTTCAAACACTGATTTTGATGTGTCAAAGGGTGTCTAGCAAGGCACTGATGAGTACAACTTGATCCTGAGAGATTTGGATTAAATCGCAGGGCAACTCAAAAGACTTCAAGCTGAGAATATCCCAATCCTGTGGAGGCCTCTTCACGAAGCAGGAGGCAAATGGTTCTGGTGGGGAGCCAAGGGCCCTGATGCTGCCAAGAAACTTTACGACATCATGAGAGATCGCTTCATTAATCATCACGGTCTTGACAATTTGATTTGGGTTTGGAGCACTCCTGAATGGGACTGGTACCCAGGAAACGACAGAGTTGACATCATTGGATACGACAGCTACCCAGGCTCTCGCAACTATGGATGCCCCAAAGATATGTGGTACCAACTCAGATCAATCACCAATGCTCAGAAAATGATCACTCTCTCTGAGAATGGCCCCATTCCTAAGATTGATGACTGCTGGCAACAAGGAGCAACCTGGCTCTACTTCCTCACATGGAATGATCTTCTTTAACAATAGAATGACGACTAGCACATCAGAGATATCTACAACAATTAGAGGGCTGTTACTCAACAATGAGTATAACAGGATTTATCTGGCTATCCAGGCTTCACCTCCTAAATCCAGAGGAAGGCTAATACTTATATTAAATTCTTCTTATTAATTTCATTACGTCAATCATATTTAGATCTACTCTGTTATTAATCTATCCATGACTTTGGGGTTTTGGGGTTTTGGGG